CTTTCTTTTTCCCTTTCCCTTCCTCCATCCTTCCCTCCCTTCTTTCCCTTCCCCTTCCCCTTCCCCTTCCTTCCCTACCTTTCCCTTTCTTTTTCCCTTTCCCTTCCTCCATCCTTCCCTCCCTTCTTTCCCTTCCCCTTCCCCTTCCCCTTCCTTCCCTACCTTTCCCTTTCTTTTTCCCTTTCCCTTCCTCCATCCTTCCCTCCCTTCTTTCCCTTCCCCTTCCCCTTCCCTTTCCCCTTCCCCTTTTCTCCTCCCTCCCTCCCTCCCAACACACTGTGGGGTTGTCTCTGCCCATGCTTTGGGTACCATGTGTTATCTTCCCCAGTTTTAAGTCAAGCAGTCTTGTTACCACTCTGTAATTATCTTCTGATATTTTAGCATTCGTCTCCCCTAATTTCCAGGCAGGCAAGTCACACTGATTACTAAAGGAAGTCTGGTCTGTAGCATCTTACATTGACCCTTCAACCATTTGCTAAGTTAGGTCACCATTTGCTTGAACTGGAACTTCTAGAGAAACTTTCTGAGATAAGGTACTTGCTTAAAAGTTGGGACTTCTTGAGAAGTTAATGAAAGAAACATTCTTTTTGGCTTGAGTCATTGAACCAACCTAGAAATAACATAATTTATTTTTCTTTATGTTGATGCTGCAGCAAAGTTTCTGGGAAACTTAAATTCCTTAATTCCTCAAAGAACTTAGTTTCTTAAGAAACTAAGACTGATTCTTTTAAAAGGCTGGAAAGAATGTCTCCTCTCTGTTCAGCTGTGTGTGGTAATCATTCCCCCATGGGCTGTCCCATTTATATTAGTTTCTCCTGATTCCCCCAAAGTGGCCCCTTGGATGGCTTATCTTGGTGAAACTTTACTCAACTCAAAAGGGTTGTATACCAGAAGCACTGAAACAGTGCCAGCTCACTTGAGAATAATCAAGGAGTTGATGCTGGTGGTTCTTTCTTTTGCATGGTTTCTCCTGGAAGCAGATGTGACTAAGAGATACTGCATAGACATTTATGGTTTGCTTATGGCATGTGTGAACAGATACTGTGGCTTGTTCCTGTTAACAGGTCTTTGTTTTGGCCTTCTTACTGTGGCTTTTTTGGAGAAGAACAAGGTAGAGTTAATAGTTCTCATGTCACAGTAAACTACAGGACTGTGTTCTTAAGCCAGACCATTAGTAGGAGAAACTATGCAGGAGTGATCAAGCATTAAATATGAACAATAAATTTGTTCTTGACAAAGACAGAATGCTGAAGAATTCTGGTTTGTTATGCATGCAAACACACCCAGTGGACATTTTAACTTAGATTACCCATTGAACCTAAGTTGGCTCCTGCTTTCCATACCATAATTAAGTGGACCCTGCTTTATCAGGGCCAACCTACTTCTAACAATTCTATTAACAATGTGACTTAACAGGAAAAGGATATTTGTGGTCAAAGGTGCCTTATGAATTTTCAAAGGCATCTGAGAGGATAAACTTCAATGAGGCAGTTCTTTTGAGTTTTCCATTTGTGGGGGAGAAGAAAACCCTTATCTTGCCTAGAATGGTCAGGATATCTTGAGGCATGAGTCGAGGTTCTCCTCAATGGGACAGTTTTGGCTAGCAGTAACACGGGTAACGTTTACATCTGTCACTGAACATAACAGGAGTTGTGGCTTCCTGTAGGCTTAGATTTACAACTGCCCAAGAGAAACTTGCCAAAACATCAGCTGTTGAAAGCTCAGAATGTGATGCTGGCATTAGCAGCGAATATTCAAGGGAACGGACGGCCATTGCACTGGCCGAAAAGTTAACTGGATTAAATTGTAGTGGCATTTAGTTTTGCATTCCATCTGTCTTGCTTGCATAGGTAAATCATACAAGGTTGGGTTAGATAGCAAAGAGTTGACATTCTTAGAAGGCCAATGTTAAGCTGATGAAGCTAATTGTGTGCAGAGAGAAATCTTGAAATTAGGAGGTTTTATTCTCCCCCCTCCCCTGGATTTTTTTTTAAGACAATATTGCCTCTGAACTGGAGGACTTCATGGGCTTGATAGAAACGGTGACCGGATATGTGAAGATCCGACATTCTCATGCTTTGGTGTCCCTGTCTTTTTTGAAGAACCTGCGGTATATTAATGGAGAGGAACAATTGGATGGGTAAGAAAAGTCTGTTTCTACTGTATGGCCTCCAAGTCACGCTGTTGAAAATAACATTTTCGGACAGATGTTCTTGAAGTTCTTGTTAGAGTTAACGGAATAGGCATTAAAACCATAATATACGAGTTGCAGGCCATATACTGCCCTTGGAATCTTGTCCCTCCACCCTCCCCCTATGCAGCTGCAAGGCACTGAAGAACAGCTCTTGAACTTTCTGTTTTTATATGTTTGCCCCACCCCCACCCCAAATATGGCCCTTAGTTTAAAAAAAATCATCAGTATCTGCATGCAAATTGACTTGAGCCATAGATTTTCCTTTGTTTTCCTCTTGCGAATGGTTCAACAAGTCTGCTTGGATGCTACTGAAAGCCATCTGTGGAAACGTTCAACCAGAGGGTGAACTTTGGATGTGTTAAGATGTCTATGAGATGTTTTCACTCATTGTACTGGGCAGAACTGGATTTGCCACCTTGTATTTGCTCACCTGGCCTGAAAGGATGATCCTCTTTTTCAGTGGACAGAATACCTTGTGTTCTCAAACACAGAATAGCATCTAACTTCATATCGTTTTCATCATTCTCTCCCAACTTGATGGTCCTCTTGAGGATGTTGGGCTACAACTCCCATCTTTTTCTCTCAACCCACCTGCTTGTCAAGCAGTCAGGGATACTGAATCATATAGTTCCATTTCAGATACCTCTGAGAGGACACCAAGGTGGGGGAAGGATGGTACATAAAGAATTGAGCTGTATCGTTCTTGGAGGATGTGGGGCAGGACAAAAGGTTGCTGCAGTCAGACTGATGGGAACTGCATTCTGCCCTTAGTTCTAAGTCTGGGAAATTGCTCTGTTTCTTTTTCTATTCTCTGTTTTCCTTTCTCCCCCACCTCCAAATGAAACAGTTCTTTTCAGATATCAGTTGCATCAGTAGTTAATAAACAGGAATTTGTGGAAAACTGTTTGAACAAGGTGGTGGCAAGGTCATGGGAACAGCTCTCATTGTGTCTGATTTATCTGGCCTGAAAGGATTATCTTACAGCATGAGGGTTTCTTCTCAACCTCTTTTTCCCCCGCCCCCCCTTCTGGCTGCAATTTGGTCAGCTCTACATTCTTAAAATTCCACGGAGTGATGGAATATGTTGTAAAGGGCAAGTGCTGCTTTCTTCTACCCTGGAAAGTTCCTCCTGTCTCTTACGTACACCACCAGGGAGGTTGGTTTTTCCAGGAGGCATCTTCCTACCTTGAAAAAGGCAGGCGCTAATCTTGTACCAGTTGAGATGCATTGACTACAGGTCTCATAGTTTCTCATGGGGGCTGTAGTCCAATGTATCTGGAAGGGGTCAGTTTGGAACTTGCTTCTTCTGATGCTGTCAGGCACAGACTGTATACCAGCAGCCTAGAAGTTGGCCAGATCTTAATATGCCAGTGTTTGACATAGAGTTTTCCCCATAAATGTTTACCTTAAAATATTTTGGATTCATTAACGAGAATGAGATTTAGATTTTTAAGACTGAGTGTCTTGCTTCTATAAAAGTGCCACGCATGGTAGAGATGCATGACCTGGGACCTCCAAAACTGTCACAAATGGTAATTTTTAACGTTTCAAAGAGGAACAACTACGAAATATGATGGGATGGTGATCATCGTAACTAATTAAAATTAAATTAAAATTTGAATAGAAATGAAATGTAGTTTTTGTCCTGGACCAGCACATTAGTTTTGTAGCACAATCCAGGTGTCTTGCCCTTGGCTGACAAATGTTCTGCTCCTTGCACCTACCTTGTGTCATGTTTGTAGCAGACAGAGGCCTTTCCCAAGCCAATTAAGTGGGAATGACAGGGTGTGAATCTGGTATACACACATTATTGTTGAGCTTTCATTGTTCTCTTCTGCTAAAGATTCCACTCCCCACTTTACCTTCTCAACAGCATGAGAAGAAACAATGCTTTCAACCAAGCATTTTCACCTCATGCGTTCTTAAGGCATTTCATTACTGAATGAATAATTACTGAACACCTGATTATTCTCAGGCTGCATAATGTAGAGCATTGAAGGAGGTGGAGTTGAGGCTATGGGCCTTTCTTTAAAAAACTGTAAGACAGCCTTACCAACAATCCACAGAATTTATAATCTCCCCTGGATTTTTTCACTTTTGCCTTCTAAGTAAATCAGAAGGCAAGAAGGGGAAACCATCTCTGATCATCTGGAAGTGATTTTTGATGGGTTATTAGTGACTAGATAAGATCTATTTTTAATGCTGCACCATAAGAATTAAAACACTTTCTCTGGATCAGACTACTGTTGTTTCTTGAGGAGGTTCTGGGCATGAAATCTCCAGAGATGGTTGATGGACTTTTCCTGGTTCATGATCATTGGCCATGATACTGGAGAACGATGGAGTTGAAATCAACAAGGGCTGAAGACCCACCATTTGCCACTACTTCAGCCTTAAAAGCAGTGACAGTTTGCAACTCACATCTTGGAACCTATGTTAGGTCTGTTAATCTGCTGCTGTAGTTCTTGGGCATGGCGTTGCTTCTTTTAACCTTTTGCATGAGATGCTCTGTAGCTTCAATAAATGAATTCTTTTTTGTCAGCTGTAAGGTTTCGGTCATAATGCAAATTTTGCAAGGGGACCTCAAGCAGAGTGAAAAATGTGTGCATTTATTTACATGGACTGATTTGCTTCAAAACATTTCCTTTTTAGGAATTACTCATTTTATGTGCTGGACAACCAAAACTTGCAGCAGCTGTGGGACTGGAGCCATCATAACCTGACCATCAAAGAAGGAAAGATGTACTTCGCTTTTAATCCTAAACTCTGTGTTTCTGAGATTTACCAAATGGAGGAGGTTACTGGAACCAAAGATCGACAGAGTAAAGGCGATATCAATCCAAGAAACAATGGGGAAAAAGCCTCCTGTACGTGAGAAATTTGGTGAAGTTAAACTTGTCGTTATTCTACCACAAGTTAAGTTGTGGTATAATAACCAGGAATGGAAGATGCTTCTTTTCTGAGCCTAAGTAACAGGAGTTAGGCAGTGATCCAGATTTGAGGTGGGAAAGGTCGTTGAGAGCACGTGTAGGCAGGCAAGTTGCTCCTGTTGGCAGCTCCTCAGCAAGCTGCGCCTTTTCCTGGACTCATACAGACTTTGGATTGCTGCATAACCCTAATAAATAATGTGCTTCTATTTCATACATTCATCAAAGATTTCTGTTAAACTGACAAAATTCACACGAAAAACCCAAATATGAGCTAAGGGATTTAAAGGATGGTGTTTGGGATGCTGAGGTCTTTTGACAGTTGTTTTTTTATGGGTTTTTAAATGGGCTTTAGTCATCCTTTTCAGTTACATTTTAATTTTGATGTTCATTTGTTGGTTAGGCACCTAGAGCAGTGTTTCCCAGCCTTGCCAGGCTTCCAGCATGGGCATCGCTAAGAATTCTGGTAGTCCATATGCCTAGAAGTTGCCAAGGTTGGATAATGCAGGTAGTCCTCGCTTACCGATGGTAATTGGGACTGGCAAGTCTGTTGCAAAGTGGCATGGTCATAAAGCGCAATGTCACACGACTGTGCCAGCTTACAACGGCAGTCCCGACACTTCCAGTTGCCATCATTAAGCGAATCCTACGTGGTCGTTAAGCCCGACATAACATGATTGCCACTTGCAACCTCCTGCCAGCTTTCCCATTGACTTTGCTGGCAGAGAAGGCCACAAATGGTGATTACAGGATGCTGTGATCATTGTAATTACAAGCCAGTTGCCGAGTGCCCAAATCACAATTGTGTGACTAGGGGATGCTGCAATGGCCGCAGCTATGAGGACTGTCATAACTTCGAACAATCACTGAACGAGTGGTTCGGTGAGGACTACCTGTAGTGGCTTAGAACCTTGTGTATTGGTGGTGTGGTGGTGGTAAGGTGAGGCATAAATTTTGTAAATAAAGTAATTGGTAAAACAAAACCAGTACCCCCCTCCCCCCCAAAAAACCTACAACAATATCCATGACAGCAAAATTCAGCATTTAAAACACTGGGGAGAATAAAAAGGTCTTCATCTGGCATTATAATATTCACAATGTCAGCTCTGGGCATGCCTCTCTGGAGAATGTTTTCTATAGCATTTGGGGGGTGGGGGGAGCTCTGTCTCTCTTATAGACATCTATCCAATTCACTTGGTGGAGACATGCTGAGAAGGGCCTCTGAAGATGGCTTTAGGATTTGGGTAGATAAATATCAAAGGTGCCACTGCTTCAGGGACCTTCCCTAAACTTTTTAGAGTTTTATGAGTTAAAACCAGCACTTCAAAGCAGCTATCATTTCCATACTGAATTAGCATTCCCAACATTTTACACATATCCCTTCAATTAGTAAAGTAGGCAGGGATTATTTGCAAGGCAAATGTGGGGCTCAGAAAAGTAGTTTCTTTATAAGGCCCTGAGAAATTAATGCCTTATGCTCAGTTTTAGAAACAATGTCCTAGTTCAAAGCTTATAGGTGCATCAGTCTGATGAGTGATTGGTGAGCAGGTTATTGAAACAGTCTCCTCTCCACCTCTGGCATCTGAAACAGACATTCAATATGTTATTTTTTAAAGAGGTTTCCCTGTGTTCCTTCTGTGTAAGTGTATATGGAACTAGGATCCATGTCACAGATACAGATGTTGGTGTGTATTAACACATGAAAGAGGATCACGCACATCCATTTGTCAGCCTTGGAGATGTTACAAAAGCTTTGGCCATTGTCTCCTATGTTACTACCAAGTTCTGTGCTAGGCTTCACTTGTTGCCTTATTATTCTTATAAAAAGAAAAGAAAAAAGCTCATTTGCCTACATGGACTTTTTAAAATGTGTGCAGGATAGAAGAGGGTTGAAACATTTGTTCTCAGAGGATTGGCCAATTGTTGTACCAAGACAAAAAGCAACTGAAAAATCCAACTGTATGCTGGATTCCCAGGCCAAGAATTAAGGTTCTCTAAAAACAAACACCCACCATCTGCAAAACAAATAATATTGAAGCTTGTTTCAAATTGGACAGCTTTTGAAGATATGAAGACCAGACTTTGCTTTTGAAATTAGTTTAAGCCCGACCATGTCAATTTAGATTGGTTAATGGGCTTTGCATAAAATTGGGGGGGGGGGGGTTACAGAAATTTGTTGTTCTTAGGTAGATTGATTCACACATAATCTGTTTTTTTCCCTTGTGGATGTAAGAAAAAAGCTGGGAAAAACAAAATACATCATTTCAGGGTCAAATTGTTGCATGGAACACCAGACTGTGCCATTTGGTTGATATGACAATCTTTCCTGCCCTAAAACACTATGAAGCACTTCCTCTTCTGGAATATTTGCTTTTGGAAAACTGCTGGACTTCCCCCCAGAACAGCTGGATTGGTGTGACCTAAGCAAAAAATTGAAAGTTTGGGTATCTCCCTGACATTTTGTATAACCTACATTATCATGTTAAAAAAAAAGTTGCTCTGGAAATAGCTGTCTGCCCTATCAAGTCTGGATCAGCCGTTTTCTGCTGGGAAAGGAAAAGGTCATATTCCCATGATGCTGGTCTGTTTTAGAGGAGAACATGTTTTACCTCCCAAAATTGTGATTCATCCACTTTTGAGCAAAACCAAGGAACAGATCTCCCAGTTGTGGAGCGTAGTTCCAGAAAACCACTCAAATAAACTCTCTTGCAATGAACTGAGCATCGTAATACATTCCATTCCTGTGTGTTAGTGGCAATTCAGCCAAGTGTGCTGTTTTGTATTTCAGGTGAAAGTCACATCCTGAAATTTGTTTCCAACACTACAATGAAAAATCGGATCAAATTAACATGGGAACAGTATCGCCCTAAAGATTACAGAGATTTGATTAGCTTCACCGTTTATTACAAAGAAGCGTAAGTATGCAGAACTAGACATTTCTACGGAGGCCAGAGCGAGGATGTGTGTTTTCTTTGGCAGTATTTCCCAACCGTTGCAACTTCCAGATGTATAGACCACAACTCTCAGAATTTTCAGAAATGATCCTGCTAGATGGGGAATTCTGGGAGTTGAAATCTATGCACTGGAAGTTGCCAAGCTTGTGAAACACTGATCAGAGCAGAATAGCAGGCTGTATAAATAAAGCTGTTATTTAAGTTGAACCAATAGTTATCTAATCTCTAATGGAAACCACTAAATTAAAAATAAAGGGCAAATATTGCCAAGATAAAAACCACATTTTTTAATGTCACAGCTCCATCAGAGTAATGTGTGTAGGATAATGTAATGGAGATTGTAATGCCAGTTTTATCTGAAAGCAACCTTCCCCAATTGGTGCCTTCAAGACATATTTAGGCTACAACTTTCTCTGCTTTTTCTTTTAAATCTGAAGTGTACAGCCATTTTTGGACCAAGGCTATATTTGACTTTGAGGGGCATGGCAAGTGTCTTTTCCCCCCAAAGTCTGGGGTCAGATCAGGTGAAAGACAGAAACTGGACAAAAGCAAAGATGGCTAAATGTAATTAAATTGAATTAAAAGTAATAAAAATTTAATGCATACCATTCCTATGATGATTCCCCATATATTTAACAGTTTTCGTCTCCTCTCATGTAAAAATTACAATTCGATAGCAACGTTGGCCAAGTGTCGGGGGAGACACACGAAAGGCCTTAAAAATAATGTCCTCTTGTTGAGTCAGGAGCAGGGAGATCAATCTTCTGGTAGCTAAGCTGAGGGCTGCAAAGTGGATGGGAACATATCTCAAATGTGGGCAGGGTTGGGTGAAAATGTGGGCTTTTCCTTTAGTGGTACTATGCCTCTTGGAGGCTTAGGTTAACATTTTGATCCTTTTCCTACCTCAGAATGATGGGAAATTGCCTTCACTTTCCAGCAGTTCTGATCAGAGTAGTATAAGTGTTATTTTATAAGAAGGAGAAGTCCTAATTCCTTTGGTTGCCCATTTCAGAGCCTTCAAGAACGTGACCGAATATGACGGGCAGGACGCATGTGGTTCTAATAGCTGGAACATGGTTGATGTGGACCTGCCTCCTAATAAAGAGGACAATCCAGGAATTTTACTGCAGGCACTGAAACCATGGACTCAGTATGCAATTTATGTCAAAGCTGTCATGCTCACCATGATGGAGAATTACCATGCTCATGGAGCAAAGAGTGAGATAGTCTACATCCGCACTAAGGCTGCAGGTAAGAAGTCGTCGTGATACTTGGTGAAGAGAAAGAAAGAATTGTGTTTCTGTCTGGTGGCATTGATTGGGCAAGGAGGACCCTGCGTTTGGAAAAGTGATCCATGATGTCTTCCATGAAATTTAAACTAGCAATAAATCTTAGTATTTTGGCATAATTAGTTTTTGGCTACAAGCATGGATGCTAGGTTGTAAATCTGCTTTCTTCCTAGGAAGTCCTTGTGGGACTTTCTTAATAAATCTGTGCAGTAGCATCAATTTGTAGCTTGGCATCTTATATTGGAATAGGAAGCATTGCACAGGTTTTCCAGCAGATGGTCAGAAAATGCAGTTAGTTGCAGTGTGTCATTTATCCAAGCTTTGTGTAATTCAAACATTCAGAGTTTGGAAGAAAAATGTAGCAGTAGATGTAAAAAAAGAGGGGAAAAATGAGTGTTGAGTTTTAGAATCATTTGTATTAGTATCATTGTTTACCAATGTGAATGATGAATGCTACCAAAGTTGGAGTTATTCCAAAAGTCTGGTAGTACTGAAAGGACAGGCAGAAAACCCAAGGACTTTGCACATTGTTTGCTGTTCTTATCTTGTGAATCCTCTTAATTCTTGAATTCTTGATAGATAAGGATTTAGTAGCAGTTTACAGGCTCCATCAAAAGGATGAGGCTGTACTTGCAAAGTGATAGGAAGACCTGGACCTCTTGGAGTCATCCATGCTGAACTTGGAGACTGGTGCGGAAGGAGGAAAATGAGAGGGTGTCCTCACCATCATATGGAATTGATTTTCAGTGGCAAAGGGTTTTAATGGATGAACAGTTGTTCTTGGCACCTGTCCTTATAAGTTTGCTTACTTGGGATCTCTGTTTCTTGTCAGCGTATCAAAAGCTCCCAACGTTGATGGCTGATGGGGGTCTACTTCTGCCTGCCAGAACCTAATTGCATCCAAAGTTGGGCACTGTAGAGAGGTGATAATTGTCTGATTAATCAGACACAGGGAAATATCCAACAGCATTTAATCTTCTTGAATGAAGTCTTTCTGAGGGTGGAAATAATATTTATTTATTTGCTTAAGGTCATTCATATGCCACTTAATTGGCAGACTGTAGACAGCTTAGAATATAATATCTGCCTTGGTGACAGAGTTATAGATGTTTATCCATCTGAACTGAGCCAAGGAGGGCAGACGGAATGTGATTCAGACAGGGATGTATAAAATTGTGCTTGTGTTGAGTGTTTACGGTAAAACAACAACGTGCATTAATGCTAAAATGTTGAGGCTTGCTGTGATATGTTAGGGTTAGGTGTAGGGTTGGCCAGAATAGTAATAAAGAAAAGGTTTTGCAAAATCAAAGGACAGAAAGTGCCTGCGTTGGGCACTGAGTTTGTATTTTCTGATCATAATTAAGGTAGCAAAAGGTCAACATTTATTCTTCTTGGGTATCTCTCATTACAGTTGAACTTTTTAAAAAAAGCTGACTATGACTGTTCTCATTTGGGTTCTGAGCCTCCTTATCCTTTTGGATACTAGATGACTTACCTGGTTTATTGGTGTAGCCCTGATACCATGGAACGTGGCTTTCAAACTTCTATCTCTTCAAGAAATCCTGTGCATAGCAGTTGACTTGCTGGGAAATCCCTGTGCATTGTGGAGAAGAATTACTTGTGAGCAATGGGGAGGCATTCCAAATCATGGCTTTTCTTTAGGTGGAAGCTTGAGTGCCCCATCATAGTCCCTTGTGTGAATCAAATGTGTACTGTAAAACACCATCTTCCCATAGTTCTATGGCTAGATGTTGCATAGAAATAACTGATGGGCAGACTTTCAGGTGGGGTCTCTGCTCTTTCTTGCCTTCTCATTGAGGGATAACTGATTAGTTGTACGCCGCCCAGAGTCGCTCCTTGTGAGATGAGCGGCTATATAAATTTGAGAAATAAATAAAGTTTCCAAGAAATGCAAGGACAGTTTTCAGTATGCTGTCTTTAACGCATTATCCTGGAGTGGAAGAGTTTCAAATTCTTATGCTCACAATCCCCTATTGCCATAGTGCCATGATAGGAAACAAGGGGTCCTTCAGATATCATTGGGCTGCAGCCAGTGGTGTGCTGATAAATATTGAACAATACTGCTGGCTCCATGGCTGTCACTCCACTGCTGTCACTGACTGCATGCTAGGCAGTGGGGCTCACCTCTGCTTTCAGTTGGCTTGCAAAATTCCTGTAAATTTTACAGTCAGCTCTCACAGGCCGGTACAAGTCAGCTCCAGCTCCCATAAATTAGAATATTGGGCACACTTTCAGGTGGCAGTGCTGGCCCTTCTTGTCAGGCTTGGAAGCTAAGCAGCGTTGGGCCTGGTTAGTACTTAGATGAGAGACCTCAAAGGAATACTAGAGTTGTAGGGTAGATTGGGAAGTTGAAGACATTTCCCCAAGAAAAGCAATGGCAAAGCATAGTACTGTCAAGAAACTACCTGGACCTGTCCACAGAGTCACCAGGAATGAAGCTCAACTTGGAGAATTTTACTTTAACATAATGATTGGGATTACTTATTATTGGAGCACAGCACGTTATACAAAGGAAGGAAATGTTTCCTCCCCACTCCTTTAGAGCATGAGACCTTTTCAGAGTAGCTCACTTCTGGTATGAGTTCAAGGGTGTCGCCGGAATAGAATGGAACAGTGTGCTGTACTGAAAATAGAATGTTATTGATTGATTGTCTTAGTACATTATCGGCTGTTGCAAGAAATACTTAAAAAGTTCATCATTGACTTCCTTTTCCTCTAGTCCCGTCCATACCTCTGGATGTCATCTCAGCATCCAACTCTTCTTCACAGCTGATTGTGAAATGGAATCCTCCCACTTACCCCAATGGCAACTTGTCCTACTATATTGTAAGGTGGCAACAGCAGCCTCAGGATAGTTACCTTTATAGGCACAACTACTGCTCCAAAGGTAAGGCCAGCATGGAGACATACCTGTGTGCTTTGGGACACTTTTCCTCATCTTACCAGATGCAATTTCCTACATTCATATAGAGCATCACTTTCAGTCAGGGACCCATAGGGTATCTTGGATGTCAACTCATCTGCAGGGCACTAAGTTAGGGAAAGGGGTATATCTGCTTCTTCAAAGTTCAACAATAAGTCATCAAAGCTTAATTTATACATGCAGTCCCTGCGAATGGGAGGTGCTATATTTGAATATGTTAAAGACGAAACAAAAACTTCTTTTTATCGAAAAAGCAACACAAAAATGTAGATCAGCAAAGACCAGCTCAACTTTCTGTTTAGTTTGAAGGTCAGACCTCCTGTTCAGATGGCTGTATAGTAATAAGGGACACACGTATTTATGCTTGTAGTAGAAAAAGTGGGTGCTGCTTCTTCAGCATGAGTGTCACAGCTGCTGGGTTAGTCCACCAACACCTTTTGGTTCTACCTTTTCTTTTGCACCTCTCTTTTGCCTTCCAAGATAAAGTCCCAATTCGGAGATATGCTGATGGAACTATAGATACCGAGGAAGCAACTGAACCTACCAAGCCTGAGGGATCTGGCAGTGAGAAAGGACCTTGTTGTGCATGCCCAAAGACTGAAGCAGAGAAGCAGGCTGAGAAGGAGGAAGCAGAGTACCGGAAGGTCTTTGAAAATTTCCTCCATAATGCCATCTTTTTGCCCAGGTGAGGGGGTTGTTTTCCTGCATTTCTTCTTCAGTGAATGGGATCCAGGGTGAAGACATGTATTTCTTAGAATAAAGTACTTTTATTTTAGTGATCCTAATTCTTACCTTCCCTGATAAGAATAATATAGTCTGTAAGGATTTGGCAAAGGGATGTAGACATCCCTTGCTGTGGAATGGGATGCCTTTGAAGATGAGCTTGAGCATCAGCTGTTGCTTGGGAGGGGCTGCTTGCCTGGTGAATTTAACCCTTTCTGTGACACGTAAGCACAGTTTCCTCCCTCCCTCCCTCCCTCCCTCCCTTCCTTCCTTCCTTCCTTCCTTCCTT